TAGGGACCTTATATTGTACGCCCCTTGAGGGTTAAGGACTGATATGAATGTACAATATATATGTAAAGCGCTGCGTAAAATTGACGGCGCTGTGCAAGTACCTGAAATAAATAAGAAACAAAGAAAACTTTTTTTACATTTTCGTTGTTTATAGCGCAAAAAATAAAACACCCAATGGCGATTAAATACCACCAAAATAAAGCTCTATTTGTGTAAAAAAAAAAAAAAAAAAAAAAAAAAAAAAAAAAAAAATTCATATGGGTGCATTGCTGCATGACAATTGTCAAAAGTGCAACAGTACTAAAAGCTGAAAATTGGCCTCAACCAGAAAGGGGTAAAAAGTGCCCAGTAGGCAAGTGCTTAAATACATATTGTATTAGTATTTTATTTCAAACCTGCATCATAATAGAAGCTAGGACTACAGATACAGAAAACAGAATAGATGTGTAATGAGTAAATACTTCCTCTAGATACATGTAGAAAGATTTGTTGGGGTGCCTCCTTAGGCTATGCACATCAGGGAGGGCTTCCCTCTGCACTGATGAAGTCTATCCTGTGGCAGAAGCTACATGGAAGTCTTTGGGCTGATCTGCACATCGTGGGGTCTTGGGAGAGATGTACATCGATCTGATCCTTACAATAATCCCAACATTTAAGTGATCCTGTCACTGCAGGAAATAGAAGCCATCGGCAAAACCAACAGGGAAACAGATATTTGACCCATCTGGCTAAATGCTGGCAGCAAAAAGTGGCATATCAATGCAAAGTATTTTTGTGGACTGGATTTTGGACTAATCAGGTACACCTGTCCATTTTTCAGGTAGACACGATTGGACCATCCATTACATTCTAAAGGAGCGGCTGATGCCTGTATCCGAACCACTAAAAATAGACGGATGGGGGATCCATTGCCCATCCGTCTAGCCAAGGAGTCTCCAAACTTTCTAAACAAAGGGTCAGTTTACGGTCCTTCAGAATTTAGGAGGGATGGATTGCGGTCAGTAGGAGTAGAAAAGGTTCTGAGGTCAATGAGAAAAAAACACTGATGCCATCTTTGGTATCAGTGGGAGGTACTGTACCCCATCGATGGGGTCAGTGGGGGGGGGGGGGGGGGGAATTGTGCCCCATCGTGGGCGTCATTGGGAGGAATTGTGCCCCATCGTGGGCGTCATTGAGAGGAATTGGGCCCCATCGTGGGCGTCATTGAGAGGAATTGGGCCCCATCGTGGGCGTCATTGAGAGGAATTGGGCCCCATCGTGGGCGTCATTGAGAGGAATTGGGCCCCATCGTGGGCGTCATTGAGAGGAATTGGGCCCCATCGTGGGCGTCATTGAGAGGAATTGGGCCCCATCGTGGGCGTCATTGAGAGGAATTGGGCCCCATCGTGGGCGTCATTGAGAGGAATTGGGCCCCATCGTGGGTGTCGGTGGATGACATAATGCCCCAAGGGCCAAATAAAAGCAAGCAAAAGGCCAAATCTCGCCCCCCACCACAGTTTGGAGACAACTGGTCTAGCGGATCAGATTGGATGACAGTTGGATGCAAGAGTAGGCTCACAGTAGCCCGCAGGCTGGTTGCGGGTGCAGAAATCACACCTGTTCCTTGCATCCGAATCACATTGCTCTTGCGAGACACGCAGCTGCCATTTATTCTGAATGGCACCCTCACGCATCTTAGCCCGCAGTGAGATTGCAGGAACCGCCTGGGAAATAGCATGGCCCTGCAGCCGTGTTTTCAAAAAGGGGCAGGCACCTTTATCCTGCAAGAAACCAGAGAACTGTGTCTGAGAAAAACGTGGACCACATGGACCACAATAGTGTGAACCAGGGACAAACGGACAGGTGACCCGTTTACATCTACCCAACCATTGAGGACAGCAGGCGGTGTCCGTGTCCACTGTACATAAGCGGAGATGGATCAGTCATCCACCTCCTCAGCAAGGATCTGCCCCAAACGGGAAGTTCCACTTTATGTCCTCTGACACCCGCCGGTCCATAGAAGTCTATGAATGGACCGATCAGGTCCACCCTAAAAATGGACAGGCGGATCCCATCAGTCTGCTCGTGTGAAAGGGGCCTAAGGCTCCATGTACACGGGACACTTCTGAACGATGGAAACTGACCACTGGAAAACTTAAATTAAAAAAACGTAGCTGGGTTTGCATATTGTGTTTAGAAGTGTTTTTTTTTTTTTTTTTTTTTTTTTTTAAAAGATAACCTCAGGAGACCTTCCAAAATGCACTGAAAAAAAGGGTAAAATATTAACTATTTCAGACATTGAGAGAGCAGTATTTGTACAGATTAGCGTTGTTTTTTTTTTTGTGTGTGGTGTTTGGATGTGTTCCAGCTCATTTCTGTGCAGAAATTATTGCAGCAGTGTAACATTTTCTTTCATGTGAAACCTCAAAGTATGGTGTACCGGGTCCATTTGAGTACTGGGGAAAACATGCTTTGCATGCATTTTTTTTTTTTTATGATGAAAAAAGGCTCTGGACAGCATCTGGAAATGGAAGAGTTAAAAAAAAAAAAAAAAAATTATTTTACAAAACACTTATAAATGCAGGTAGCTGCATTTACAACGCTAATAAAATCTACTCCTGAATGCAAGTTTTCTGCGGAAAAAAAAAAAAAAAAACCCACTGTAAACTCAACTGCCTGTAAACGACAGTCACATAGGAAAACATTAGGGAGTTCAAGGGCTGCCGGAACACACACACACACACTTAGGAGCTGTAGTGTACATGAGCCCTAAAAGGAGAAAAAAAAAAAAAAAAAAATGGCCATCACACTAATGCAACGTTTTCCGTACAGAGAAACCCTTGAGAAATCCCTTCTGTTATCAGGGAACCCCTGCTAAAAAATTTGCTATATCTACAACTCATGATACATTAGTGTGATGTTCATTGGGATGAATGCTCCTTAGGCTGTTCATATGTTATACAATTTTCTTGAGATTTACCAAAAACCATAATATGAGGTCAAACCTAAACACTTTCAGTTTTATCCAATTAGACAGGCCCTTGCGCTACATGGTTAAAAGGTAAATTGGGCAGAAAATTATATAGTGTATGGCCAGCCTTACAGAGAGCTAAATAGATCAATTATTTAATTACAGGTACTTATTCACTGCTGTGAATCTATGCAGCGCTTTACATATATATTATACATTCACATCAGTGCCTAACCCTCAAGGGGCGTACAATCTAAGGTCCCTAACTTCATACATACAGTACTAGGGCCAATTTAGACAGGAACCAATAGACCTACCAGTATGTCTTTGGAGTGTGGGAGGAAACCAGCACAGAGAGAACATGCAAACTCCAGGCAGGTGTTACCATGGTTGGGATTCAAACCAACGACCCTAGTGCTGCCAGGTGGAAGTGCTAACCATTTAGCCACTGCCCGTTGAGTGCACACTAAAGGCTACTGTTCAGTTCCCTATCCAGTCCAATTTACAAAATCTACATACAGCTGGAGGATAAAGCCTAGTACACACAATGAGAAAATTGTACGAAAAATATTGCTTTCGGCACGATCGTACGATAATCATCTGATCATTTAGTACACTGCTTTCATCCGAAATTATCTGAAGGGACAAGCACAAAAATTTGTCATGCCATGGTTGGGATTTGAACCATGAAATAGCGTTTCAGTCTTGGGAAGCCCCTAATAATAATAATAATCATATCTACAACTCACTATACATCAGGGATTCTCAACCACAGTTCCTTGGAATCCTAGGGCTCCTCCAGAGGTTGCTAGGGGTTCCTTGAGCAATTTCTGCCACTTAGATACGTTCCTACTGCCATTGGGGCAGCACCAGGTGGAAGTGTTAACCCATTTAGCCACGGTGCTTCCCCAATGGCAGTAGGAACGTATCTGAGAGGCAGAAATTGCTCAAGGAACCCCTAGCAACCTCTGGAGGCACCCTTGGATTCCAAGGAACGGTGGTTGAGAACAGGGGCAGACTGACCATTTGGAAACTCGAGCACTGCCCGTGGGCCCAGGGTGGGTAGGGGGCTCCATGAGATGCCCCAGTACCTTTTTCATAGGCTTTTTGAGTTTGGACAAGGATACAGGGGCCCCATGATCCCCTATTGCCCGGGGGGCCCCATGAGTTGTCAGTCCGCCCCTGGTTGAGAATTGCTCAAGGAACCCAAAGCAACCTCTGGAGGAACCCTAGGATTCCACGGAACGGTGGTTGAGAATTGCTCAAGGAACCCCTCGCAACCTCTGAAGGAACCCTAGGATTCCACGGAACAATGGTTGAGAATTGCTCAAGGAACCCCTCGCAACCTCTGAAGGAACCCTAGGATTCCATGGAACAATGGTTGAGAATTGCTCAAGGAACCCCTCGCAACCTCTGAAGGAACCCTAGGATTCCACGGAACAATGGTTGAGAATTGCTCAAGGAACCCCTCGCAACCTCTGAAGGAACCCTAGGATTCCACGGAACAATGGTTGAGAATTGCTCAAGGAACCCCTCGCAACCTCTGAAGGAACCCTAGGATTCCACGGAACAATGCTTGAGAAACCCTGATCTAATGTATAGTGAGCTGTAGATATGATATCATTAGCAGGGGCTCCCCAAGACTGAAACACTATTTCAAGGGTTCCTCCATGTTAGAAAGGTTCCTCCAGACAAAGATCCCAGACTCTGCGTAGAGAAGGTTGCACCTGTACAACACGAACTAGAAAATGACAGTGCCCAATAGAAGTCAGCTGAGGCCAACTATCTGCTGACTATCAGGAAATAACCTACAGGGAAAAAAAGAACCAAATGTCAGCACAGACAAAAGGCGATATATGTCCTGCAAAACATCTTGCGAAACCCAGGAAGACGTAAGAGACTCGTGACCAGCTGAGACGTCACCTTAACCCTTCTGAGAGTCGTAGGAGCTAAAAAATGATCACTTTGCCAAATTTAAAGTGTTAATACTGATGTGGTCAATGCTCTCCCCTTCCCATCCTAATGGGATGTCCACAGAGTGGTCACCTACCTGCTGGTCAAAGTAATATGTTTCATAGTTGGGATCAGAGTGCACAAGGTAGACCCCCAAGCAGGTCCAGATGAGGAGAAGCCAACATGATAGTGCTGAAGATGCCATGTCTGTGTCTGACATGCAGGGATTCCCTGCCTGAGTATAAACTATGGGGAGGAGGGACTTGATCGGGGAGGAGACTCTGTCGCTTCCTTTTTTTTTAACCTATTCACTGACGTACTGACACAAAGACTGAGCTGCTACAGAGTCGCCCAATAGACTTCATTAATGTTAGCTCTTCGCTGGGTTTTGATGATGTCTTTAGTCACGCTCAAGTTAATCTCTTTACCCTCTGCTATTGTCCAAATGTACGCAACAAGAGATTCGCCAGCAATGTTTGCAACAGATCACAGATGGGAATATCTTGCTTTTTATTCAGTAAAGTTCACGGGTGATTTTTAGGTACTTGAGCCTATTACACAGGATGAGAAAATCAGACCAAAAAATATTGTTTTTTTTCTGATAACACTGTTCAACAGGTAAAAAGTTTTGGGCATAAAATTAGCTAATCTTACATAATTTTGGGGTGCTGAAAACGAAAATGACCCTAAAAAATGTTGATTGGCTCCAGTTTCCATGATATATTCACCCATCTAATGACGTAAGCCATTCAAAATTATGATGCAACTTCAGCTGCATATTGCGCAATTGATACTGGTGACCAATAGAAAATTGCATGTATACTGAGATGATGCAATATTAGCCTTTAATTGCATCACTTCACTGCATAAAAGCTGCAGTATCTGTAGCTGATTGTAGTTCGACAGCGTCTTTACATTTCGTTTTATGCTTATATAGGCTACTCAGTAATGCCTCGAACTTGTGTGAATAAAGCAGATAATTTCTGCTATATCTGCGGTGAAATAACTTTTATCTCACAAAAAAGGAGGATAACAGGAATGATTAAGAAAGCCTACAACTTGTATATTGGCTGCAAGATAGGAGACCAGGACAAGAGCTGGGCACCACATATATGCTGCAATTCTGTTGGGACGGCACTGGAGCAATGGTTGAATGGAAAAAAGGCATCTATGCCTTTCGCTGTGCCAATGATATGGAGAGAGCCAACAGATCATGTTAGTAATTGTTACTTTTGTATGGTGCCTCCAATTGTAAAAGGGCTAAATAAGAAGAAAAAGTTATCTGTGCATATTCCATCGGCAATACGTCCAGTTCCTCATGGAGAGGGGCTACCAATTCCTAAAGCACCAGAATCCTTCGTGGTTGAGTCAAGTAAGGAAGAACCTGAAGCGTGTAGTCACGTGCAGTTGTAAGAGATAGCCCTTTCCTAGAATACAAGAGAAAAGCCAAGAGAAGCAAAACCGACACAAACTGAAGACAAAACTAGTGAGAATCCTAAGTATTAAAATGATTCAACTTAGCTTATGGCTATAATTTTTCTTGGTAATCCTATGCAATATATTATGCCATTTAGGCTTTGTTATGTAGTCAATATCACTTGCTTTATATTTGTGGAAAGACATCTATCTATATAATTATTGTGCATTATGTAGTCATTACGCCATTAGTAGAAAACTTTCCGTTTACAGAAAAACTAGAGCCAATTGACAAATTTCATTGTTATATTTGAACTCAGAATGTGAAATTCATTAAGAAATGGATCCTTTTGTTTCCAAAACTGGCAAAAAATAAAAATTTGTTGAACAGTGTAATCTGATCATTAATACACAGCTTTCCAGAGACAGTTGATGTGAAATTATCTGAAGGGACAAGCACGTAAATTTCTCTCATATGATAACAGAACAAACGATTTTCGTATAACCACTTACGAACCGTGTTCCCTTAAATCAGGGGGTCTTAAAACTGTGGCACAAGGGCCAGATGTGGCCCTTTGCTACCCTTTATCCGGGCCTTGGGGCACTATTCCTCCAACTTCCTACTGAGACCAACAATGGCAGGGCACTGTTCCTCCAACTAAAACCAATGGTGGGGCACTATTCCTTCCACTGATACCAATGGCAGGGCACTGTTCCCCCAACTAAAACCAATGGTGGGGCACTTTTCCTTTCACTGATACCAATGGTGGGGCACTATTCCTTTCACTAATACCAATGATGGGGCACTATTCCTCCCACTAATACCAATGATGGGGCACTATTCCTCCCACTAATACCCATGATGGGGCACTATTCCTCCCACTAATACCAATGATGGGGCACTATTCCTTCCACTAATACCAATGATGGGGCACTATTCCTCCTACTAATACCAGTGATGGGGAACTATTCCTTCCACTGATACCAATGGTGGGGCACTATTCCTTCCACTGATAACAATGATGGGGCACTATTCCTCCCACTAATATCAATGATGGGGCACTATTCCTTCCACTGATACCAATGATGGGGCACTATCCCTCCCACTAATACCAATGATGGGGCACTATTCTTCCTACTAATACCAATGATGGGGCACTATTCCTCCAACTAAAACCAATGGTGGGGAACTATTCCTTCCACTGATACCAATGATGGGGCACTATTCCTTCCACTAATACCAATGGTGGGGCACTGTTCCTTCCACTGATACCAATAGTGGGGCACTGTTCCTTCCACTGATACCAATGATGGGGCACTATTCCTCCCACTGACACCAATGGTGGGGCACTATTCCTTCCACTGATACCAATGATGGGGCACTATTCCTTCCACTGATACCAATGATGGGGCACTATTCCTTCCACTGATACCAATGATGGGGCTCTATCCCTCCCACTAATACCAATGATGGGGCACTATTCTTCCCACTAATACCAATGGTAGGGCACTGTTCCTCCAACTAAAACCAATGGTGGGGCACTATTCCTTCCACTGATACCAATGATGTGGCACTATTCCCCCAACTAATGCCAATGGTGGGGCACTAGTTTTCCCACTGACACCAATGATGGGGCACTATTCTACCCACTAACACCAATTATGGGAAATCAACCCTGAGGCCATGTTTATCTCACTGATACTGGGGCCAGGACATTTTATGTCATTCACTGGCCCTAATCTGGCCCTCCTAAAGTCTGAAGGACAGTATTCTGTCCCTTTGTTTTAAAAGTTTGGAGACCCCTGCCTTAGATTCATGGCAGCAAAGCGGCATCCCTGTGCCCCCCCCCAGCTCTTCTGGGTAGGGGGCGCGAGCACCTGCTGCCCCAGATGTGTTGTGATTAGTTACAGCACAAGCTGATCAGCAGGTCCCAGCCAAAGACTGACCAGACTGGGACCCACCAGATGACAGGACCGAGCTCTGTGAATGTAAACAACACAGAGCTCTGTCCTGTCAGTAACGCTTCGTTCACACCTATGCAGTTTTCTTTTTCCCTGTTTTGCAGTGCTTTTTGCAGTTCGGTTTGCGTTTTTTCTACACACGTTTTTGATGCGTTTTGTTCAGCTTTTTTTTTTTTTAAGTGGAATTTATTTTTTGCTGGGCAAAATTATAATGCAAAATGTGGCAAAAATGAGGAAAAAACGCACTACCATGCATTTCAGCAGATTCTCCCATTGAACTGTATTGTAGCAAAAATGCTGCTGTTTGCCTTTAAAAAAAAAGTCCCTGACCCTTTGAAAAACACAGCAGCTCAAAAAAAGCAACGATGTGAGCATGTTCCATAGGAAACCAGGTTAAATGGACTGTAGTGCGTTTCTGCAAAAAGCACTAAAATACGCATTGGTGTGAACAGAGCGTAAAAGCACCAACCAGTAAACACACAAAGCACTAGGAGAGCTGGACAGGGCCGTAGAAGGTCCTTAACCCATCAGCAGGACTGGTATCTGCTCCTTTGTACAAGGAGGAACAGGATGAGCACTGCCAGAGCCCTACAAAATGACCTCTAGCAGGCCACTGGTGTGAATGTCTCTGACCAAACAATCAGAAACAGACTTCATGAGGGTGGCCTGAGGGCCCAACGTCCTCTAGTGAGCCCTGTGCTCATTGCCCGGCACCATAGAGCTGGATTGGCATTTGCCATTGAACCCCAGAAGTGGCAGGTCCACCACTGGCACCCTGTGCTTTTCACAGAGGAGAGCAGGTTCACCCTGAGCACATGTGACAGACGTGAAAGGGTCTGGAGAAGCCATGGAGAACGTTCTTCTGCCTGTAACATCGTTCAGCATGACCGTTTTGGTGGTGGGTCAGTGATGGTCTGGGGAGGCATATCCATGGAGGGAGGCACAGACCTCTACAGGCTGGACAATGGCACCCTGACTGCTATTAGGTATCGGGATGAAATCCTTGGACCCATTGTCAGACCCTACGCTGGTGCAGTGGGTCCTGGGTTCCTCCTGGTGCAGTGGGGTCCTGGGTTCCTCCTGGTGCAGTGGGTCCTGGGTTCCTCCTGGTACACGACAATGGCCGGCCTCATGTGGGGAGAGTATGCAGGCAGTTCCTGGAGGATGAAGGAATTGATACCATTGAATGGCCCCCACGCTCGCCTGACCTAAATCCAATAGAACACCTCTGGGATATCATGTTTCGGTCCATCCAACATTGCCAGGTTGCACCTCAGACTATCCAGGAGCTCAGTGATGCCCTGGTCCAGATCTTGGAGGAAATCCCCCAGGACACCATCCATGGTCTCATTAGGAGCCTCCCCCGGCGTTGTCAGGCATGCATACAAGTACGTGGGGGCCATACAAACTACTGAGGACCATTCTGAGTTGCTGCAATGAAATTTCAGCAAAATGGACTCGTCTGCTGCATCATTTTTTCACTTTGATTTTCGGGGTGTCTTTGAATTCAGTCCTCTGTAGGTTGATCATTTTCATTTCCATCAAACAATGGGCCATCCTTACGTTCCTAACACATTACCCATCCATATCAGTATAGATATCCAGCAGGAGATGTTTCCCCATTGAGACCTGATGTGTTTTCAGTGTTCCTTTCATTTTTTTGAGCAGTGTATATCTGAAAATCGATCACTCCTGATGTACTGACGGCCCGTCTCATTTCTTGAGGCCCAAAAATGCCAGGACAGTACAAGTACCCCCAAATTACCCTTTTTTTGCAAAGTAGACGGTTCAAGGTGTTTAGTAAGTTTTTTGAAGTTGTATTTTTTT